GTTTCACCATGTTGCCCAGGCTGGTCTGAAACTCCTGGGCTTCTATCCGCCTGCCTTGATCTCCCAAAGTGCTGGGATTACAGATGAAACCCACCGTGCCTGGCCTCTCCTTCCTCCTTTTGGGTTTATCTTCCTATGTCTTTGCTATCAATTTTGGCTGGGTTTCAGCAGGAGTGTTGGTCTTCTGTGGGTAACTAGGATCCCCCCTTGGAGCCTCTGCCCTCCCTGTCCCTTTTCTCTGGAATCCTCTTCCTTCACTCTTCACTTTAAAGACCTATTGTCATCCTTCCTGTCTCTACTCAGCTTGTCGCCTCCTCAGGGAAGCCTTCCCTGACTGCTTCACCGTGTTCCATTCTCTCATCTCCTTTGAACTTGGGGTGCCCTAGACTGAAGGCTGGTGTGAACTTCCCTGTGGAACCCGTTTCTTTGATAGTGTTTATTGCAGCCTTGAATTACTTGACATTGATTGGTTTACTTGGTCTCCCCTGCACCCAGGGAAGCATGCTGGCACACAGTAAACATCTGCACAGCCGAGCAAAGGTTTAGAGGGAAAATGGGTGCAGGCCTGGGCGGCAGGGGCTGGCAGGCTGTAAGGGAGGGGTGGGGATCTGCGGCTCATGTCTGGTCACTGAACGAACCTGCCTCAGCAAGGAGGGCAGGGCAGAGGGCCAAAGGCTGGCAGGGGCTGGGTGCCGGGCGTCCAGGGCAGCTGGCATCTGACCAGCCCAGCCTCCCCTCCCGCTGCTCCAGACAGACCCTGTGCGGCTGACACAGCTGTATGAGCAGGCCCGGTGGGACCTGCTGCTGGAAGAGATTGACTGCACGGAGGAGGAGATGATGGTGTTTGCCGCCCTGCAGGTACCAGGCAGGCCTGGGGGTGTGGGAATGGCTGGGAGGTGGGTTAATCCCAGGGCAGGAAGGGCCTTCCCAAGTGGGGGCTACCTCCAGGGAAGCCCGGCCTGGGGGCACTGCTACGGGACCCGGCTGCCAGACTCAGCCCTCCCTGGCTTCATGCCCACCTAGTACCACATCAACAAGCTGTCCCAGAGCGGGGAGGTGGGGGAGCCAGCTGGCACAGACCCAGGGCTGGACGACTTGGATGCGGCACTGAGCAACCTGGAGGTGAAGCTGGAGGGGTCGGCGCCCACAGACGTGCTGGTAAGGAGGGGCTCGGGGTGGGGACTGGGCAGGGTCATGTGTGAGGCCCCGGGTGCCCCTCTGACTCTGTTCCTCCCATAGGACAGCCTCACCACCATCCCAGAGCTCAAGGACCATCTCCGAATCTTCCGGTGAGTTGGAGGCCAGAGTAGGTAGCCCTGCTGGAGGGCCCAGTCTGCCTATGGAGGGAGGGGGCCAGGAGGTCTTTCACAAACCTCCTGTATCCCACAAAGGCCCCGGAAGCTGACCCTGAAGGGCTACCGCCAGCACTGGGTGGTGTTCAAGGAGACCACACTGTCGTACTACAAGAACCAGGACGAGGCCCCGGGTGACCCCATCCAGCAGCTCAACCTCAAAGGTGAGTGTACCAGGGCAGGGGCGGATGCGGTCCCTACCTGTCCGCTGGTTTCCTCCTGGAGACTGGGGAAGATACCCTCCGTCCTGAGGTTATGCTGTGGAACTGGCATGTACTCCACGACCTCAAGTGGCGCTGCCCCTCCCAACCTCCTAGGCCACCCCTCTCTCCCTCCAGGCTGTGAGGTGGTCCCTGATGTTAACGTCTCTGGCCAGAAGTTCTGCATTAAACTCCTAGTGCCCTCTCCTGAGGGCATGAGCGAGATCTACCTGCGATGCCAGGATGTGAGTGAGGGCCGGGCCGTAGCTGGGGCACGGGCAGCGGCTGAGGGGCATCAAGGACGGGGCAGGGGCCAGGGTCAGGGCTTGGCTAGCGCTGTCCCCCTCACCCTTCCCACCCAGGAGCAGCAGTATGCCCATTGGATGGCCGGCTGCCGCCTGGCCTCCAAGGGCCGAACCATGGCCGACAGTAGCTATGCCAGCGAGGTGCAGGCCATCCTGGCCTTCCTCAGTCTGCAGCGCACGGGCGGCGGGGGCCTGGGCAACCACCCCCAGGGCCCTGATGCCTCTGCCGAGGGCCTCAACCCCTACGGCCTGGTGGCCCCCCGTTTCCAGCGAAAGTTTAAGGCCAAGCAGGTACCAGAGGGAGTCAGGGTGGGAATGAACAGTGTTTACCCGGACACCCCTGATCCCCTGGGTCTCCACAAAGCCTTCCTTGGGAAATCCATGTGCTCACTGGGCTTCTCCCACTGCATCCCTGAGGCTTCGTGGCTGGTCCCCCCTCTGGGAGGAGTCACGGTCCAGGTGGCCCTGTCCAACTCATGCCTGGCACAGTGCAAATCTGCACCTTGGCGGCCCCACCTGGGCACTGCCATTCCCAGGCTCACAGGCTGTCACCCTGACAGGGAGGTGGGGGCTTGGTGACTTTGGGAGAGGGAAATAGTGCCTTCAGCTCGTCACCAGTATGGTCCCGCAGCTCACCCCACGGATCCTGGAAGCCCACCAGAATGTGGCCCAGCTGTCACTGGCAGAGGCCCAGCTTCGCTTCATCCAGGCCTGGCAGTCCTTGCCCGACTTTGGCATCTCCTACGTCATGGTCAGGTATGGTCCCTGACCGAGCCCCTGCTGAGCACCGCCTCTGCCCTCATCTGCCATCTGGCTGCTGTGTGCGCACATCCCGAGTGGGGTCTGGACAGGCACCCTGAAGACTCCCTTCCCTTGTTGTTTGTAGGCAGGACTTACTGAGGGCCCATGTGTGCCCCTCATGCTGCCCCTCCACAACAAACATAAGAGACAAAACTCATGCTGGGTGCGGGGCTCACACCTGTAATCTCAGCACTTTGGGAGGCCGAGGCAGGAGGATTGCTAGAGCCCAGGAGTTTGACACCAGCCTGGGCAACATAGAAAGACCCCTGTCTCTACAAAAAATTGTAAAAAATTAGCTGGGCGTGGTGGTGGGCACCTGTAGTCCCAGCTACTTGGGAGGCTGAGGTGGGAGGATCTCTTGAGCCTGGGAGGTCGAAGCTGCAGTGGGCTGTGATTACATCACTGCACTCAAGCATGGGTAACAGAGCAAGACTCTGTCTCAGAAATTGGCCAGGCACAGTGGCACACATCTGTAATCCCAGCACTTTGGGAGGCTGAGGCAGGTGGATCACCTGAGGTCAGGAGTTCGAGACCAGCCTGGCCAATGTGGCGAAACTCTGTCTTTACTAAAAATACAAAAATTAGCTCAGGGAGGCCGGGCGCGGTGGCTCAAGCCTGTAATCCCAGCACTGTGGGAGGCCAAGGCGGGTGGATCACGAGGTCAAGAGATTGAGACCATCCTGGTCAA